ATAAGTATTTATGACCTAACAACCAGTTCAAAAAACAGTACACATAAATTGAAATTTAAAAAATAATTTAATTTCATTCTTAAATAACCACAATTACTTACTAATGGGATATGTGCACCTGTGGTTTCTCATTCTTAAACCTTGGAATCAGAGTGGACACTGCCACCCTCATTTCCTATTCCATACTGATTTTTATCACAGCAATTGAAAACCCAGCTTCACAAAAATATGACATCATAAAACCCAGCTTCGCAAGCAGATGCCACAAAAATTTTAAATATCCCACAGTTGCCCCTGTGAGTTTGTTGCAGTGCTCCAGGGCACTGTGCCGCAGTTTAGGAATCATAGTCTTCCAGATTTAATAATGAATCTGGGTAGTTCAATTGACTGAGGAATGTTAAAAGGTATCTGAGGGCTTGAAAACTACATTGTGTAGAGATCCTGGGTTGAAAGGTCCCAGATTCAATTTACCTTTTGTTTTATAAATAGATGCCTCAGAAGTTGGGCCAAGTGCAGCAATCATTAGCCAGACTCTGATGTAGAAAGTTCTGTCCTATACATTTTAGGGAAATTATACCCTTGAGAGATTATATACAACTGAGAAAGAGGCTACAGAAGCCCTGCAATGGACTACTAAAGTGGAAGTGTATTCAAGAGTAAAGTCTCCACAAAACATGGTCTGCTCAAGCTACAGATTCTACATGCAAGTACAACTCTAAAGAGAAAACAGCTGGGACAGTTATTTCTGCACTATCCACTTGTGTCAATTTTTGTAATAAACATAGCCACACTTAGTTTTTGAACATTTGCAAAACATGTTTGTGATTTCTTTAACAATCCAAGAGAGATAAAACATTTCAAACCTCTAATTCCCTTTATTTATACAATGTTATTTGGGGGAGAACTGTTCTAAGCAACTTCAGTGCTATCCATCATAATTAATATAAAAGTCTATGACTCCCATTTCTTCAAATCTTAAAAAATCTACACATTTATAAAACATTCCTGAGGACATAGTGTGATGGAAATAATTCCCTAATACTTATACTAATTTCTTGTACACTGGAATTTAATTAAGGATTACTAGTCTATACTTGCCTACAAAATTCTTCTTTGTCCTTTCAAAATTCTTTGCAACTATGGGAGCAGATATATTGGCCTACACCAGTATATTTATACAGGGATATTTTAACTAACTCATTTCAGTTCCCATCAATCATTTAATTTTGGGGGGAAGGCTACCTTTGAGTCAGTTTTCACTCCTGGCAACTGCCTGGACAAAACCCTGCAGTTTTCCTGTCAAGATTTCAGAAGTGGTTTGCCATTGCCTGCTTCCTAGGGCTGAGACAGAGTGACTGGCCCAAGGCCACCCAGCTGGCTTTGTGCCTAAGGTGGGACTAGAACTCAGTCTCCCAGTTTCTAGCCTGATGCCTTAACCACTACACCAAACTAGCTCTCTCAATTATTTAAATACATTGTATGAAAACTCATTCTTATGCAATAAAAGAAATAAGGGTATTGATAATATCATAGCTGAAACTATAAAGACGGACAGCATTGGCTTGGAAGGGTATTCTACAGGGGAAAAAACTTCCCTCTATCATATCTGTTATTTCCTGTCTTACTAACTGCAATTGTTTGGGAACTCTCAACATATTCTAAGATGACAGTTGTTTTTTCATCAGGAAGTCCAATGATAGAAGACTGAAAGTCTCATCAGGAAGAATTAGGCATTCACTCTTTGAGTTTAAAATAAATTGTTATGAAATACTTCATGGCAGAGACCTAAATTATATTTTTAAAAGCATTGACAAAACCTGTTCAGTATTTGTAATTTAGCAGAAAAGGGCACAGAGATTACAAAAGCTAGCAATCAGTGGACAGTTATGTGGCTCTGCTTGTTTTGAAGAGATGGAAATCAGTTTCTGTTGAGAACTATTCTCCTGCCTCACCCCAAATTTCTTACTTGGCATTAGTGTTTCAACATTTAGCAAACAATAACTCTGTGAGCTATGTTATATACATTTGAAATCCCTTTACATTTTCTATAACAGATTTAAATTTAAAGAAAAACAAGCAATACTAAAACTTGCCACTGTTACCCACATGTGCCTATCATATGATTTTAGTAATGTCTTTAAAACAGAAAATACTGACAAATACTATCTATTTGTATATCTATGTTGGCCCATATTTTTATTATTGTACATTTAATGATTCCACTTGTCTATCAGTATCCTATGCATCTTTTGTTGAAGAAAAAATGCTATAAAATGCATTAAGGTAAATGAAATCTGGATTAATAAACTAAGAAAACAACCAAGCACCTAAACTACTAAGACTTTAATCTAGTATGTTATGCCAAATATTTCTGAAACAAAGGTTAAACACATAAAACATACAGAAATCTAGGCAATGAAAAATATGTTTCAAAGAATATTTCACTTGTAGCTTGTTCTTTTAAGCCCAAGCTTGCTTGCTTGCTTGCTTGATTTAGCCACCTATCTCACGAAACAGTGACTCTGGGCAGCATACAACACTCAATTAAATACCCATAAATACATATAACTATAAAAACTATAAAAAACACACAAAACAGGAGAGGATGATATTAACCATAGTAAGGGAGCCATTGCAAAAACTCCCAGGTCCCCTGGGACCCCCAGACCTTGTAGAAAGATACCCATTAGGTATATATTGTTTCATTAATGCTGTAATCCTTCATACTTTCTACTTGGGAAGAACCCACTGAATTAAACAGACCTCATTTTTTAGCTGATATGTTTAAAATTGCACTGCAAGACTGTCAATCTTAATATAAAATTAACTGATAAATTATTAAGACACAGACACTATTCCTATAATATGCTGCACTGAGTCAATGGGGACAGAGTTAAGCAATTGTAAGAACAACAAAAGCAAGTTATTGATCCAGTTAATTTAGACAGTGTTAAATGTAAGCCCAAAGAAAACCAGTTGGTCCTGTACTGTAATGAGATTATGGTAATGTAATCTAAACTTAGTTAACCTAGTTTGCATATCTAGGCATCCAAGAAAAAGAGGTGGAGAGAGAAAAGGCCCTAGTCACCATTGGAAGTGCAGTGCTCATATCCTGGTAGCCAGTGAATTTCTTTTCCCAGTACTTACTGGATGCCAGAGAACCAAGCTTTCTCTGCTCATCAGGATGCTCGCAGAATGTGTCTCTTACGAGTATTTGTATCCAGTAATGAAATAAAATAGTTAAAAACACTCAAGTGGGGCCCCTCACTACAAAGTAACAAAATGAGCTCACACACTCCCAAAAGTGAACAAATAGCAACATTTGGAGAGACACTGCCACAATTCACAAGTACTAAAACATCCCCAAGCTTATCTATAGAAATCATGCCAATAACTGTCAATCTTACCTGAGATCAGCCTGACCCCAAAAAGCCACATTCATCAAATGCGTCAAACAAAGGGGCCTATCCCGCTAGTCCTATGACATAACACCAGAAAAAACTCACTCTCCTCCAGGTCAAGTACAGGAAGGGCTCCCTCTTATACACTGCACAGAAAAAATGTCGGAAGACCTGGGAAGAGTTGAGACCACCTCTCATATCAAATTTCAACAGATGCAGACAAGATGAAAACCATGAAGCAGTTCAAAGACGTCATCATGTATTAACCATTCCACAGTCCAGTCAGTTGACTATCAACTCCTGGAGCAGAGAGATGTTGTTCTGCAATACACAGCTGAAAGATCCTGAGAATACCACCAAAGACACCATTTCTGTGGGTGGTAGGAAGGAGGGTGGATTCCTTACTACCTCCCAAACTTCCAGGCTGTTAGACCCACACACTAAGAGGCAACTGTGATCAACTGCTGGCTGGCAGAGTGCATTTGGAAACGAGCATGCATGTCAGGCATAGTTTACGCAGGAGGGGTCTTGTGTCTGATGTCCTGTTTATTGGTCATGTGTTCTTCTTTTACACTTCTCCCAACACCCCCAGATTGACATATGCTCACTATTGAGACTGTTATGGTTTGGGATGGCGGAGTCGTTTAGTGTAATTTTTCACTTTCATTAAAGGCTTTATTTTTCTTGCAAGGCATACAGGTGAGCATATTATCCCATAGACTATTTCTGGATGCTGGCTATGACAGGTAGATTATTGGGAAAACAGTGTAATTCTGGGGTGGGGTGGGTGGCTATCTGTAGAGATGTTATCTAAAGAGACAGGGGAAGTGAGTTGTGATTATTCTTTTTGATTGGGATTGGTGCTTTAAGTGCTGATTCTTCCCCCCGCCCCTTTCTAAATCCAATTTTCCCACCCACCCTGTTCACTCCTGCCTGCCTGGCTACTGGTGTAATTTCATGAAGCCTTACCAATACTTCCTATGCAAAGATTCATGAGATACTGGGAACTTCTGTCTCCTGTGGGTAGGACTTCACTAACTCATATGATTCACTGAGTTATATATATATATATAGGCATCATACACATTTATAATAAAAAACAAATAACTGAGAATTTTAACTCAACGTGATTGCAAATGGACTCACCAGCAAAGAAAGCTGACTAGATTAATTACTGAAAGGTGAGGCATGTCACAGAAACAGGACCATATATTAATTTCTAGAAAACTTTAAAATAATAAACATTAAATAATACAATTATTAATTAAATAGTAATTAAATTAAATAATTAAATAATGTACAACAGTACGTTAAATAATTGTATTTAAATAATTGTATTAATTAATACAATTTAAAATAATACAACGTGAGATGTATTTAAAGAAAAAACACAAAACTATACCTGGAATCTGATGTGTACATTTCAACAACTAGAATTTCTCTGCCAGCATTGTTGTTACTGAATATTTTGGGAGTTGGTCTGGAAAGCATCCAAACTAAACATAGCTGCTTTAAGGAATGTGGTCTTTAACGTAAGAAGTACAATACATAAATCAAGATTATTATATATCAGAATAATGAGCTAACAAAGACACTTACCTTTCTCTTATAAAATCTGCTAATTCTTTTGTAGATGTATGGCCATGTTTCATATTATGATAAAGGACATCAAAGCCATTGTTCCTTTCACCCTAGATTAAAATAAAAACACTACAGTTCAGACAAGGCACAAAAGAAATAATTAAACCATTAAAGAATTATGAGAACTAATTAATATTAGTGTTATTATGATTACTGCCATTCTAAAACGGTTGCTCAAGCTGTAGATCAGGGTTTTCAAACGTTTTCAGGCTGCAAAACCAGAATGCGGAGGTGCCCTGAAACATGACAACTATTTTTAGGGTTCATCCAGTGTAAATAAAACTGAACCCCTGATCAAGAGGCAAAGTTCTAATGATAGAAAATTGGCTGTCCTAGTGAATTTTTCTGATTTGCCCTTAGCCTCTCATAGAACCCCATCAAGTTCTCACAGATCCCCTGAGTTCTATGAAACAGTGTGAAAAACCCTGCTATAGAAGAATACAGTATCTAGAAGAATACAGCAACTTGAAGAATACAGTATCTAGAGTATTACCACATATAAAGGAAACTTTATTTTTCAATAGAGTTTATTTGCATTCCAACCACTGGGGCTTGATTTGCATACATATAAGGAAACTGAAGTATAAATAGCTAAAGTTGCAAACCTATGGGCAATTATATGCAATCTTGTGCATTCTTTGAAAAGGACATGTTTGGATTTATTTATTTATTATATTTATATATTTATTTGAGGTCGCTTTTCTTGTATAATGCCTTTTTGCTCAATTTAAACCAGCTCTTCTCTGAGTAGAAGTCACTTTCTGTTTATGTAAGGATTCCTACCAGCTATAAAGAATGAAGTCAAGAATACCCATGCACTTATCAAGAACTTTAAAATCAAATTGTTTTATCTACCTACATGGTTTTATCTACCATTGCCATACATCTATCTTTTTTTTAACCTTCATTTCCTTCTTTTTTGTTCCTTAATAATTTGGTTGGTCAGTTGCTTCCTCCAAATCAAAATACTTATTTTCATAATCCTGTACAGGTAGTCCTTGTTTAGCGACTGTCTCATTTAGCGACTGTTCAGTTATGATGCTGATGAAAAGGTAGCTTTATGACCAATCCTCACATCTACGACCTTCAGAGATTTGTAAAGCAAACGACAGCTGAAGGTAAGATCATAAGCACAGGTGCAGTTTCACTTAGCAACTGCTTTGCCTAACGACCAAGTTGCCAGTCCCAATTGTGGTTGCTAAACAAGGACTACCTGTACATGGTTCTTTATACAGCTGTACTGAGAGAAAAATAACTTAGGAAACTTATATTTTAAATATGCGTTTTAAAAAAATAAACAAAGCTTTATTAAATACTCATTAAATAAGATTACATCTGTAGGCTCCATTTCTTAATAAAGATACAACCACCACCTAGTGCTTCAGAGTTCTTTTCCTTCCTCATATATACAAGGCATATTACCTCTTCATACAATATAAGTCAAAATTAAATCATCGTGAATGCTGCATGAGGATTGGTTAGTTTGCCCAATGTCCACAACACTGAAGCCTTTTCATACATTGATAGAAAAGGCTCTAGTGAATCAAAGATGAAGAAAATGAAAACTACTGTAATATCCCATGAAATATAAATGTACATACATTTTATTGTGAAACAGAGCTAATTTTTTACCATTTTACTTTGACTACTTAGGCTATGGAGATGGTTGCACAGTGACGAGACTGCTACTGGCAGTAGCTTGGGTGTATGGTGGATGATTTGTGTGCAAAGAATAGCTACAAGCAGAAGTCTCCACTAAATGTGGAAGTGCTGAAACTGCAGGCAGAAGTACCTTCACCCACACTTCACCGGAGTTGAATCCTAGGTATTTATCTGTCTTTTGTGGATCCTGCCATTGTTCCCCTATTAAGATCTTCCCTCTGCCTGAGGTGCCCAAAATAAGCAAGGCCATCACAGCTTGGTCTATTCTTCATTTGCCTGCTCCCCATATCACAACTTCTCCTTGCTACAAGGACGCTTGATCATAAGGGTTTTTTTGTGGTTGTTTTTGTTTTTGCATGTTGCACAGTGCTAGCACTCAGAGTGTTTGAATTTTTATATACCATGTCTCAGCTGCTGGACTGCTGTTTTTCTATGGGTTCTGCAAAAGATCACTAAAAAATATCAATGCAAGGCTAGCTGTAGATATGATTTTTATGCAGGGTTTCCTCAGGACCTGAAAATTATTTCAAGGATTCTTTCAGGATAATGATGTTAAGAAAGCTGGGCTATAGGTTAAGAAGAAACAGCTTTGTATCCAGACAGAGCAAGTTGAGGAGGGGCTGTACTCAGAGCCACACACTAAGGGCCATAGCCAGGGTCTGCTCTTTCCCACTTGCCTGTTCCCACTACTGCTGCTGCAGCTCCTCACTATCAGAGGTGGTTGACAGCCCAAGGGAGGATCTGTACTGTACTACCTAGCTGAATTCAGCAAGCTGCACAGTGATTCTGAATGTGAGTTATGTACATTTGAGTATTCAGGGCCACTGATGAGCAGGTACCCTTTTTCCTTCTTTGTCTCTCCACCTAGTTTGCTCTTGCCTTACTTGTTACACCCAATGAAATGAGCAGGGAGCAATGGTGCTCTCTTTTGGGGTACTCCTTACTGAGGGTCACCTGCCCTGCAAGGTTTTCTCTTTCCTAAGTATTGTTTTGGGCTTGAAAATTATTTGGAGGGCTGCACTTGGTCTGCGGATTTGAGGCCCCTGGCATTAATCATGCTATTATTGCCAATGCTTACCTTAAGAAGCATCTAGGTTCATTTGCTGTTTGCATATAACCAGAAGCAGTGAATGTATAGATCACTCATTTGTGCAGTTATGAATTTGGATCCCAAAGCTAATCCAAGAAACCAGGCTTTCATTTAATGAAACTGCCACTGATGTAGACCATAAATAGCAGAAAATATAGCACAGAATCTTCACTGAAGACCCGATTTTTAGTTATTCTCACATTCAAATTACATAGCAAGGTAGCAAGTACATCTTCCCCAGGTTCCTACACCATAGTGATTAAAGATTTAATGAGAGAGTCGGAAGATGTGTTTGAGTAAATTATTTTTCTCTAATGTTATTTCCTGTGTTTGTATAGATATGAAAGACTAAAGCTACACACACACACACAAACACACAGCATACAAGATCTTAAAGTCCTGTAATTCACTTTCTTCTGTAATGGGACTTAAGTTTCTTCAATAAAAATTTTGCATTGAAATTAATTGACTGTCTTCTCAGTAATGATAGATCACTTGGATTAGTTTTTGTTTTGCAATGTAGCTTAGGTTGCTCAGTTGCTGGATCAGAAAAATGTAGGTTCAAAGAAATGTTTTCTGGATCACCCAAATATCCCTACTATGAACAGCAACTGTGGATTCAAAAGACTCTTTTGCATATTGTTAGGCGGGTCTGTCCCGTCTACCATAAAATGTCATGATGCTGTAATTATTTTTCCAAGATGGGTTTCATTTATTTATTCATTGATAATCTAAAGTTTTTACCCAACACTTTAGCAAAACAAAGCAAAAAACAAACAAAACCAGAACAGAAAAAATGCTTTGAAAGCGCTTGATTCAAGCTTACAACCCACAAGAGATCAGAAGGAAAAAGAGAAGAGGGGAAGATAAAAAGCTTACTGTGCTTACACAAGCTCGTTTCTGTACATTCTAATGCTGAACTCAATATATATGGTGTAATTAAGCATCTCTTACAACATAAAGATGGAGTAATAGGTAACTAGTTGATTCTTCTTACTATGATCCTTTAATTTCATCTAGCTAGCTTTCCTCTACTCCATTAGTGCCAGCTACTGATACAACTTTGTGTATTTAAAAAAATAAGAACAAGCCAAAAATGTCATTTGAAATCTAATATTTTTCCACAATCTATAATAGGGCTCTTTTCATGAAAACATAGTGAAAAGTTTAAACAAGTCATGGAAAATTATCAAGTAATTAAAGTAGGAGTGAAAACAAGCAACGGTGAAGCAATTCTCTGTTATCTGTTGGAGTTTCCTTCTAACAATAGTGACTGATTACTGTGGGGAAGTCTGTATGAAAATTTCAGAAGAAATGGAGTACCCACAAAGAAAAACATATTCCTATGTTTAAGTGAAACAATTTGGACTGCTATGCAGTCTTCCTAAGGAGAACCAAAAGCAAAAATAACCTGATATTATTTGCTCTTTCCATCACATCCTACACTCTACCTTGCCTTTCAAAGTCATTAAGAGGTTGCATATAGAGAATCCTGAGTATTGATTAAATAGTTTAATATATTACAAATTCAGAAAAAATATATATTATGGTATATTATATTATATCACATTATATTCACACACAGTATGGGAATGCATAGCTCAATGTACCTATGTGTGTTATACAGCCAAACACTATGAATTGAACTCCATGTAGTCTTTGAAAATCATATTTATAGCACGAACTTACATACAAAGATCTATTTCCAATCCTTTTTGGCCATTATGTTAGGAACAGGTAGGTACAAATGCAAACTTAATGAATCTTTATCAATTAATTGCTTCATCAGTTTAGTTAAATCTGATCCTAGCATGGAAATGAAAGTAGCTATGTAAGCATTAACAAGAAAACAGCATTATCAAGTGACAAGAGCATTTCCACACTGATATTCTCAGTACAAAACAGGAAACGTATTACAGGAACTCCTTGTTTTGTTCATATACTAAATATATCCAAAATTCTGCAGAATAGATAGAAAGCATTACCTTATTTTCCCAAAGTATCTGAATGAATACTGTTTAACAAGGCAGCAACTTGATAGCAATATTTTTATACACACACATGAAACAATTCAATTCTTGTACTAATAAAAATAGAAACATAGCCTTTTGCAGATACATTAGCATTAATGTATTTGCTACATTTGCCTTGGAAAAAAGTTAGAAAATCATAAAATGACAAATAGTATTGTATTTTCATATATCTAATATAAACTATAACAAAAAGATTTGGTCTAGAAAGAGAAATGCAACACTTTAAAATTATTTGTAACTTCTTCCATTTTGGACAACTTTCCAT